GTTAACCAAGCCATCTCAATTAATCAAAAATGAATAACGACTTAAAACGAAACCCATTTCGCAAAACTACCCACAACGATTCTTGACATGCCTAATGACGTCGCATGTTTTGCACTCACTCCCGCAGGACGAAGAAAAGCAACGCCGTGATGAACTGCAACGGAAGTTGGCCCGTGAACTGGAGAAGTCAAAAGCCAAACGCAGCAAGAAAATGGGTATCCTTCGAAAATGAAACATCATGGCGCACGCACCTTAATGCTTTCATGATGTTTTTCTATATTTGTCTTTCGTAACTTATGTCACATTACACGCGCATTTCCAGCTTGAGCATTGGTTCTTATGAGGGCATATTGGGGAGAAGCTGGAGCTTGTATTCCTTGGGCAGTTCTGCATCGGCATAAGGTCTGTCGCAAAAGTATATCCGCCGCAAGCGACAATTTGCGTGTATTTTTACTCGATTCACCTCCAGCAGGCGCTGTCGGTAACAATATTCCATTAAGCGCTGGAGATCAAACACCACCGTATTCCAACCGGGGTGCAACACAAGTGGCATGTTGGTAGTGAACTGCTTGATTGTTGTCACTTTGTTAAAATTACTCGCTCGAAAGCGCCTCTTGACGCCACTGTAGTCCAAAACCTCGATTTCAAAAGAAAAATAGCGATTCATGTTTTTGAAAAGTAAAACAAATATAGGCATCCGGATGCCTAAAGTTTGGTTCGGACAGCTAGGACACTCGATGTATGTTGTAGTTACATTGGTGGAGCGGATATCTAGGATCAGTGAACGTATATCGGGATCAGCGATACGGCGTATAGTTCCTGTCTTAGCACATGTAGCCCAATTCAGTAGCGGCTTCTGACCAACGCTATAAAAAATTGACAGTAATCCAGCTTGATAGGCCGTCCGATACATGGTCCCGCTCCACTTAGTTTTTCCACAATTTACGCCAGTCGCACTTTCAAGGTCAGTGAGGTTCAAATTCGATCGATATTTGTTTGCGAATATGTCAATCACATGGAGCAGCCTTGTAACAACATATAAGTAATATGACCAAAATGTACATGCTTTCCACGTGAAACACACTTCACAACGCAAAACTTAAAAAGCTCAATGAGGGTTTTCGGATTCTATGTACATCAAGTTGGCCGCCACGTGAGGGAACGACAGACAAATTTTAGAACCTGGCAAATTGTGATTCATTGAGAGGAAGAATTATGCAATTTTTGGTTTTTGGTGAGCAAGAACTTGGAAATTCACAGAAGAGAAAGACAATTTTTAGTCACCATATCCCCAGTGGATGCAAGGATGAGGGATAAACAAACCAGCTAAACAGGTGCTAGCTAGGTGTCGAACAGGAAGTAGAGTGCTCGCTGAATTCCGTGCCAAACTGTTCCATGAACGCGCGTTTCACGGAAACAACGTGTCGAGCTAGACGGATGGCATCCTCCCAGCGCAAACCAACGAGCTGGTGCAGTACGGGAAGAGTGAGGAGCATGAATGCTTGACCATCGACTGCCTCGGCTGCAAGCCAAGGCCACATTTCGCGACAGTCTGTCTCTCCCAGATAGGAAGCGAGTTCGACGGGTGACCAAAACAGCGGATTGCTATTTAATGTTACTCTGGGGGCGTCGGCAAGAATAGAGCAGAGAGTGCGTTCAGATAAATGCGGATCACACGAGGGCTGATGCAAGACAGGACAATCAGGGGATATGCTTATGTCCGGAGTGGTAGGTAAGGGGCTCTCAGGATTAATGAAACCATTGAGAGCAAGAATGTGGTTACACCAGGAGTGATAGACACGTGGAACTATTGAGTTTCCGTAACTGTGTGTTATACCTTCGTTTGAACCGTGCGTGCTCAAGTCACCATACGGCCCGGTGGTTGAGTCATGGATATGCTTATCGATCCCTGCGGAAGATACAGCATTTAAAGGACGTTTGGTCGTGTGAACATGCGAATCTGCGTCAGAATAAAGAACACGCTGGCCCTGTATCCGACGAACTGTGCCACGAAAGCGACTAGTCACGCGAGTTCGGTTTTTTCGTGTTGTACCATTGATTAGTCCTGAAATATCACGGGTCGCTGATTGCTGTGTTAGTCCAGCAGATGAATCGCTATTTTCGGGTGGCTGCTGTTGCGCTGCAGCTACTGCGGCTCGAGTTCGAAGTCCTGCATTTGATACTTCTGCACACCCCAAGGATGATTGAACGTCTGCTGGGGGACGAATGCCGAACGGGCGGAGGGATGCAAACATGCGCCGTTTCCAACCAGGTAGCCGGTCTAAAGTTCGAGATCGAAGACGACTAGCACAGAAGGAGGGACAATCACTGAGTGTGGATGGAAACATAAGCGAGCCAAAAGATAAGTCCCTGCGAACGCCACTTTTTGAGTCGCGGGACCTTTTCGATACCGACGCCAGTGAGAGTATGTCTATCGCAGGAGTGGACAATGGAGCTAATGGTGGGGTTGGATCCGGAGGTGTTAAGCTGATTAGATGTGGACAGGCTTCCAGGACAAGGGATATCTGGAAAAGAAACGAGTTCGTGAAGCATTTTTTACAAAGGCAATGCACGCAATTAGCGCATTCGGAATTCCAATAACATAACTCATATCGGCCATCAATTTCACATGTTCTCAGTCAGCTGTAAAAGTACATTGATACAATCATGACAAGGAATATGCAAGTTGAAATGGGTCATTAGACAATACAGTGTATAATTGAGTTTGGCTCCGGTAATTGTGTTCAAAACGCAATGAAGAATGTATGGTGAAGAGACGGAATGAAGTAAGAACATGTCACGCAAAGTGAAAGGATGTCGTCTGGTGTGATCTACACACTACCACGCTAACTACTGCCTTTCCACGAAACATTTCCCTGTTTCGGTCTCCCTAATCTGAATCCAGGAAAGGTTAGCCACCCCCGATTATATCTGTTCGTGGAAATTTACGCTTAAAGGTACTCCGGATGGACAGAACCCGGGACCGAACCGGTAGAACGCAAGCATGTTTGCTTTTCCAACCATTAACCATGCACTTTCGTGCGCCGGTTTTGGTTGCTGTCTTTTGGTTACCCATTTGTATAAGAGAGCAGAAAAAAATTGGAATGTGGAGAGCTAATTCAAGTGGAAGATGAAGAATTCATATAGACTGGTGGTAGGAGAATAATGAGTAGATGCATAAGTGCCACTGCCACTGAATCTATTTTTAGCCTGTTCCAAGTCTCTGTACCGTATAGCAGCATTGGCCGAACTGCTACAACATACACCTGACCCTCCACAGAACCCAACCAGATCGAAACAGCTGAATAGTAGTGCTTCTTAACTTTTCAGTTCACGCTTCATTTGCTCTATACGCGACGAATTCACTTTTGAAATTGAATTAAATCCTTGATTACTCGCTTGAAATAAGTAGTCAGATTGTGAATGTTTCCAACCGAGTCATGACCTGAAGGCTAGTGCTGAGATGAGCATGGTCTGTGGCCCGCAACAAGCTACTAGAGGTAGCTGCTGCTATATCGTGTATAAAGAAAATGCAAAAACGGTCTGATCAGTTGCCCGGTCGTCGAGTGGGTAGTATTCTACATGTGAGGTACCGGCTTCGATCCCCAGGGGCGTCGGTGGATTCGCACTGCTAATGAGACACGACCAGGTGGAAATAGTTGTCCAATGCTTCCTAGTTTTTCAGGTCACGCCTCATTTGCATGACGAATTCGTCACACAGTCAAATCATAGAACGTCGTTTGTCAACCAGAATCATGTCCCGAAAAAACTTGATCTTCAAGAGAAGGACTACCGCCCAATGCAACTGCACGGCAGCTACTAGACTTCGGTCACAGGATAACACCACAAGCGTTTTATTACAACACCTTGAAGATTAGGGATTGTGCGATTTCTAGAAGTAACAATAATTCGTTACAAGAAACCGGAACTTTATGTACCAAAAGCAATTACCGCACAACTGTTGCTGCCGTGTTAGTGGGAAAGTTACACTGGCCCACGCCGTACCAATTTTTGTGGCATGTTTCTTTCTCGTGTTTTTGTTTAACATGGTGGTATTAATGTAAGTTTGCAGCTGACTGAGAGCGTGTGAAATTGATGGCAAACATCAATTTTGAAAACACGTACTTTTTTGTGCTAATTAGGTGGATGACATGAAAAGGATGTTTTACATAATTAGGAATTCGTTTGTGAAGAACTGTGAGTGCGAATAAAGGAAATAAAAATCAGGACCAAAAGGATTAACAAACCTGACGACAGAACTCTTCGACAGCTCGACTACGACAGCATACTTCGACAGGGGCCTCGATCTTTACTCCACGTCTGGGACAACGTATCCGGAGGAGAACAACACACATAGCACTTCGTCTCTGTTCCAACATTTCCATTTCTGCTTGATCAAAGGCTTCGGCGGCCGACAATCCACCCACTCGGCCTCGAGAGGCTGTTGGGAAATCGCGATCGGCATCCCGCGCCTGTTGGTTCAAACGATTGGTCCAGGCAGACGCCATACCACTAGCCCAGTCGGCTTCAAACATACGAAGCACACGTATAGGCTTGTACGCTGCACTGACTAACCGAGTAAGAAGATAATGCATCAATCTGGTTGTCGGGCCTGGACCGAACCTTCGAGGGAGAAGTTCCAAGCTGGTCTGGAAAAAAGTGCAAGTATGAAGAGACTATGATAGCGCTTTATCGTAGGATCCCACAGTGCACATCCAGTCGGAAAAAACAATGAATATTTATGATGAGGCCGCACATGAGTAAGCATATCCAACAGCACGGTAAAAGACTAAAACTAATACAAAATAGTGATGCTAAACGTTCAACGGAGGAATGGAAGTAGATCGACCGAAATTTTGAAAAAAATTACGCGACCTTTTAATCACAACCGTTTTGTCAATCAATTTACATTGTCACTCGGAATGATTAATTTGAAACGCTGAAGTCATGAACAAGAAAACCACTATACGATTAAAAGGATTGATTATGGCTTCGAAAGGGGTGTTGAAGGGGAATCTCAGTAACAAACCTTGTCAGCAAAGAGATGGATATACAGATAATGACGGACTGAATGAGGTGAGGTTTGACGGTGACTGATGAGTTTAACTGTGAAGCACATAGAGGACTAATGTGTTAAGAGATTCAGTGAAGATGGCAATAAGCTCTGCAATTCCGTACTGAACTACGACAACAGTACCTTACTATTACGTGGTCAATTTGGATGAGTTTGCTCATGGGACTAGAATGAAATATTGCCGTCCGACGAGAGCTATGTAGAATGTTGACGCTAGATAAGAACAACCGAAGATCCGCGCAGAACTGAAGTGGTCGATCACGGTTTTCTGTTCGCTGACCGGGCAGAGTGAAGTGCCCCCTAGAGAGGCTTCCGGTGAGCTCAGTTTTTCAACCTACGGGTTAAAATCAATTGCCAGAACTATAATATCAGAGCTGCGGCTCAACCGAATGAGTTCGGTGAGTTTGTCGTAAAATTTGTTATTTTGTGGATTGAAAGTGCAGTTGGTTGGTGCATATGCAGAAAAGATGATCAAACACCTTTTATTGTTGCTTCCCTTTCGAACACTAGTTTAACCCTGGAGCCTCATTGCACACAAACGACTATCGACGGGTATTAATTCTATGAGTGAGGCCTCAGCTTTATCGTTTAGTACGGTTACCACATCATGCTGACGCAGTGAGCGGATTTCATCGCCTCTGGACGTGTGAAAGAGATATCTCAAGAATAGACCCAGGGCACTCATGTGGCTTATACTAATAGTATAGTGAATTCGTATCTCCCATAGGCAACAGAATTCAATTTCCGAGGAGTTTATTGTACGCGCAAGACACGCTCGTTGACCTAGCCGTATTAGACTTCACACGCCTAGGGCTCCCGAATTCCAAGGGTGACGAGGCTTCAGAATCTAAAACTTATTTGGCGGTAAACTACTTTCAGTTCCATTAGGTATCGAGCTTTGGCGAGTTGCAAACAAGTTGTCTGACAATGTTTCAGGTCGGAAGAGGGCCAAAGAGAGGGTTAGATATAGAAGACAAAGAGTAGAACAAAAGTTGGGATGTCTGAGCAGTAGTTCACTTATCACTTCTAACCCGATTCGGTCCTAGTTATCCCGCGCAACGATCGATGCAGCATGGAACATTTTTTTAGCTTGGGTTCACTTGAGCTGTATAGAGGGTTACTGTTGGGCAGCACGAGAACAATTGAGGTTCTCGACCGAAGCCTCTAGTTCTAACAAGAACCTGACCGCAAGGTAGCGCATAACGTAAAGCAGATGCCCATTTGTTTGGATCAATTACCAGTCTAGCGTTTTTCGCCGAGTGAGACGCCAATTCGTATAAAAAACCCATTCACGGGGACCAGAAGACTGGACTTTGTTTGACCTCTACCCTCTGACATTTTAGGAATGATTAGATCTTCGACTTAACGAAAGCCCTTCTATGTAGCTCGTGGGGTCACAGAGGTGCACAAGCCATCTCACTACATCAAGGTACTTACTTGACTTTACTACGGATGGCTCCTTGGAGAGGATGAACCGGCTCAATGAATGTCTCTGATTGCCGCCGCCCACATCAAGGTACAGCCCATCGCGATAGGTTTTCCGTATGCAATCGATTCGATTCGAAAACAGTGGTGAGGTGTTGTTTTCTGCTATTCCCACAGGATTAAGCTATTCTGGGATCATGTTAGGGATTCGCTATCATGCGCAGTTTAAACCTCGTGTTATACTTCGAAGAATCTCGTGAGCAGTGGTAGATCAATGAACTTCTGTTTGTCTATGGGGTGTTTTAGGCTGATGTCCTAGATTTAAACGTTTACAATGGCAATCAACTTTGGTGGGAGACAGTTTCGCTGCATTGTGGCTTTATATCTGTCATATTCAGTCGTTGTACGTGGCGCTGCTCACAGTCCTATAGCTTCGGTTTATTGCTTGTGTTAATCACACTATGTTCGGTTCCAGTGTACACAGTTATTGTTATTATGTGGTGGTTCTGATCGCTGCCTTTCGACTATCTGTTTAGTCGATTAACGAGGTTAGAGTGAATGGAAGAGTTCGAGGCGAAGCACACTACCAGAATTAGGATAATGGAAGTAAGTAAATGTCGAAAATTTGTTGACGCATCAGCTCCACTGTTGACAACACTCAAAAACTTCACTCACCATCGATTACACCGACCCCGAGGGTCCAAACCCAGAAACCTAACCGATCTTTATGTTCAACTCTCCTGATCGACCTTTTGATGTCCCCTCACAAGGTTTTAGTTTGACCTTCCACACACTGCCTTCCCCGACGAGCATTGCACAAGCCCATCAGATAAGGTGCGCAACAAATACCCCAACAATCGTAGTCTGTACAGATCCAGCATTTATTCCAGCGGGCAACCGCGATTATTTAAAACTCTGCAATTGACCTCACTATTGCGTGTTTGGTCACCACACAGGCTCGTGCAATGTTGCACAAATATCGGCGTTCAAACACAGATACTCTATGTTGTTTTCGCCTAACGGCCAAGTCTGTTCACCATGCACGAGAACCGGCCAGACATTGGCAGCATACGTTCGATCCTCCACGGATAACGGAATGTGGCGCCAGCGCCGCAGACATCTCAAGTTGCTAAACATCGACCGAACCATCGGTGCGTTTACTGACGCTTAATGCGCCATCCCCCTATCCAAGTAAAATTTAGCGGCGGAAACTGCAAAATTTATCCACTGTTTGTTGCTCCCTTGTTTAGAGTGAAGTTAGGAGCTGCACCTGTTAGAAAATGTTGCGGTTTGGTGATTGGAAACATGCCGAATAGTTTCCGGCGGTTAATCGATCGAAACTCCAATAAGACAGACCTGGCATTGTGAATGTCCGTTCCTTAAAACGTGGCACTGAGTATGTTTTGTTCAGTAGACTTTGCAGAAAGAGGTGTTGACAGTTCGATTACTCGTTTTAATCGATTACACAAAACTGTCGGAAATATATACCGCATTGTGTTACTTACTTTAGTGTACGAACATAAAAAGGGAAGGAAAATGGCCTGAGATCATGTCTTTGGTAAGTGTAGTGCCTGTGTTAATAACTGATTCCAGAAGACTGGTTTGCGTAATATGATCAGCATTAATTTCCTAATACCAGCAGCTTTATACAACGATTGTGTAACAACGGTTTCAAAGATAAGGTCGCGTGAGCCGCGTGCTTTGCTGTCGTCAGATGTTTAGCAGTCGATGACTCCGAATTTCAGTCAAAACAGACATCGGGCGTGTTCTACATTTATTTTTCCAAACACTTAAAACGCTCATTGGTACATTCTGCCAGTGGAAGGAAGTATCACTGCAGCTGTAAATCACCCTAACGGCTCAAGAAGCAGATCTAATTAATCCTCTTGAGTATCCCGTTTTCCGCTGATTTTTTTTTCGTTATGGGATACATCAATCCTATTAGGTGGCCCACAGTTGATTTCCTGTGTTTTTGACTATTCCAGTACTACTGAGTCGCTCTTTTGAGTGGACGAGGGATTAAGATGGTCTAAGTGTTCCAACGACCTTTGCAGTCTCTGCTCAACACATTGAAGTAGTCAGTTAGTACGATTGTGAAGTAAAAGTTAAGTAAGTCTTTCATCTGATTTTGTGAGGATGAAGCCAGTTTGGTTTGGTAAGCAGCGTCAGCTGAAGCCTCCAGACTGCCAGTGATTCTAATCAAACATTGCTTAAGAACTATTCGTAGAATGGATGGCTTCATGTCGACGGTCATGAAACTCAACGGAGTTTCGTGGGTGCGCTTATCTCACCTTTGTGAATAGATACAGCGCATTTGCTAGAATATAAATCTTAGTTTTAGGTCATATCTTCCTTAATTGTGTGAGTGGTTTTTAGTGCATCTCACTAACGGTCAACTGCTTTCCTTGTCTACAGTGTGCAGCTAGGTTCGCGGCGATAGTGCTAGGAGCCTTGACTGTTCTTAGAAGCTCCAGAGCGGTGACGTTTGTCTTGTTCGGAGCAGAAGCACTCGACGAGTGGTCGTCTAAATCATTCGGCGGACGTGCACGAGTGTAGTTAGTGCCGTTACTAGTTCCGCTTCGCGCACCACGTTAGGATGTGCAGTCTTCAACCAATGGTGACTAGTGATATCCTACCAGGATGTAATCTAACTGATGTGCAGTTCAGGAATCTTAAGAATACTAGGTTAGCAGGTGATTCGTTCGCAGACAAGTGTTGGTGACGACCAGTAGGTTTCAGTAAGAAATGTTAACTAAATGTCCACCGTTCTCGCACCGGCTATATATGTTAAGTTTGCCCACTATGTGCCCTGAGTAATCCCTTAATGGTTCGGGATGTGCGTTCCAATCTCTCGTGACGATGAAAATGCCACATTCGGGTATTTAATCCATGATACTTTGGATATGCTCGTAAAAATCAGCCTTTGTGGCCGTATCTGGCGGTACAGTAATCGCGTAGACGGATATTACCGATGGATTTCAAGCGATTCCTTCCCAATAGGCTAGGACGATCCTACGGCTGACAGACTGTCATGAGATCCGGGAACTTTGAGCCCGCTTTCTTAATGCAAAAGTCACCCCACGAAGGTCGGAGTTTTCATTTGGCCCGCTGCGACACAGCTAGTAGGAGGCATCCACGTGAGGTACGTTC